GGGGGGGGGGGGGGGGGGGGTAGATTTGTTTGATTTAAATATACTAAGATGAACAACCTATATGAGTTTGATTAATAGATGTGGATGCTTGGTTTTGCTTTTATCCACTTAATGAAATGTTCGTCGATCCCGGTTATATCTTTAACTATCTTCCTCTCGAATACTCAATCGAGGAGTATATCCAGTTCATCGAGGGTAGTTATTAATAACGAGATGCGTTCATTAATAAAATTTACTATCGAGTCAATCTAGAACAAGCGCCGTATATTAACTTGATAGTAGCAATAAACTTAAGATGAAAACGATTGAGATTGATAACCTCAACACAAGCGGTTTATTGGTTTAATCAATATAATTAATTCCCCTTGGCATATTAACCATGAGATGCATGCATTAATATTCCAAGTTTACTACCGTTGAAAGAACCGGATTAATAACAAGCGTATTAACCGATTGATTCTAGTAATAATTAATATGAGAAACAAAACTAGTTGATACTTTAAGTAATGTTTAAAATATTAACATGAAATATGAATAGGAATTAATTAATACTCAAGGAAGGATATTAAAGAATATGAATCCTACTATGATTAACATCAAGATGTTAACTAATTGTCATCTTAGTAACACTCCCAATATTAACATAGAAGAAGAAATAACTATTACTATAACCAATGTCAAGATGTTAACTAATTGTCATCTTAGTAACACTCCCCAACTTTGATATAGAAATAGTATTTGAAAGGAAGAATTAATATTCAAGGAAGAAGATTAAAGAAAATAACTCACAACTTACAAATTCATTAAGCTTCAAAGTAGCAAAACCAAGATGGAAGGGTTTAGCTCCTCATTTGGAGACTAAATATGCTATAAAAATATAAGAAATGCTATTCTAAACTGAGCTTAGGAGTATGGAAGAAGGGATGAAGGGATCTCCCCGAAGTGAAGGAAAATGGGGCTATTTATAGGTGTTTTGCAACACCTTTGGTCGGGTACCCGATAGGGTAAAGTGCCCACCCGACCGGGTGCATGTCAAAATCAAATATCCTCCACGTTCTGGTGATCTTCAGAATGTTAAAGTGTCCCGGGTCAAGTCAGACCCGACCGGGTGGGGTAGGGGACCCGACCGGGTGAGTGCACTTTCTAGGCACTTTCGGTTGTTGAATCAGACCCGACCGGGTGACGTCTTATGCCCGGTCAGGTATTTGCTCCTGGACAGTCAAAATTCCTTTTTCTTCACTTCAAAGTCCTCTTTTCCAAAACCATAATTCCTAATTCTACTTTACAACTAATAAATGAAGATTAAAATACAATTACAGCTAAATTCACACAAATGTTTACAATCTAAATAAAACGGTAAACAATACACACAAATCAATCATAAAAATATATATTTATGCACTACTAATTAGTGCATATCAAATACCCCCACACTTAAACCTTTACTCGTCTCGAGTAAATCAAATTCGGTCCAAGAAGTCCTTAAAATGACAACAATATCAACACACACATCCACGAGTGTTTTTAGAAACACATAAAGTATATCCCCAAAAATATAACAGTAAAGAGGGTCTTCAACTCCATATTTCTTTATCAACCTCAACCTTTTTTTTTCGTTACCGTTAGGATCCTGCAGAAATAAAAGAAAATACTTTCTCTCGTTCTCTCATTTTTCCTAGGTGCCCTTTCGGGTTTTCATCCCAGCTTCACACATTTTTCTGTTTTAATCCTCACAACTCACTCTTATTCTTGCTTTATTTTTGCTTAAGTTGCCCTTTCGGGTTTTCAACTTAACAAACTTTTATAATTTTTTTTACAAGAATAAAGAGTATGAATGTGAGTATTCCATAAAACTCTCTCCCCAAGCTAATCAAAGCACTATCCCAAGTGCTTGGGTCTGAGATGAATGTGTGTTTTTTTTGTTACTTTTTGGGAGGTTTTGTTGGTGATTCGTGGGTGTGGAGATGAAAAGGGTGAAAAGGAGATGAATGAAATGAGTTTAATTGGTGGATGGATGTAGGAGATATGAAGCTTTTGACTTTTGGAAATGGAGGAAATTTGGGGTGTGGTTCGAAAGGGAAGACAAAGGGGGGTGATTCATTTCATTTTTAGAAATGGCCTGGTTTCCAAAAAATCGAGATACCCGGCCGGGTGAGGTAGTGTACCCGGTCGGGCGTAAACTGTTCACCCGAGGCAGAAAGTTTTTGCTGGGTTGCCCGGCCGGGTATGGGGGTCTACCCGGTCGGGTGTTTGATTTGTTCTTGTTCCGCTCTTGCCTCGCCCGGGTGGTTGGCCGGGTGTTTTGTTTTTAGAGGTAACCCAACCGGGTGGGGTTTTATACCCGACCGGGTTCAATCCCAGGTCATTTTTTTTTGAAATGTGTAAAAATAAAATAAAACAAGTAAACGTACCTTGCTTGGGTTGCCTCCCAAGAAGTGCCTTAGTTAACGTCGCGGCACGACGCCATCATTGTGTTCAGTCGTTCAAATTGGGATCATGATAGTTTATCTTCGCCACATTTTCACTCCTAGGACTTCCATAGGAATGCTTGATTTTCTGACCCTTCACTTTGAAAATCTTTCCAGGATCAAATATCCAGATTTTCATTGATTCATGTGGTGAGAGTGAGGGAAAGAAATTATCATTTAGCATGGTCAATGGAAAGTGTTTTGATCTTGGTGGCATGAGAGGGGGTATCAAATGTTTACTTAACTCCACTGTCATTTCCTGCATATTGGTGAATGAAAAGAAATCCAAATGATATTCTCTTGGTTTATTTGCAACCGCGAAAAGTACATTTGAATTATCCTCACATTTTCTGAGGATTTCATCTTCGTCCTTCTCTACCCTTTCTGTTTCCCTTAGAGCCTCAGGAAATGGTGGCATGTTCTCATGAATGGCCGGTGATGGAGTTGAGTTTTGAAGTTTCTCCTCCTCTGGTTGAGCTCCCTCCGTAAGCTCCTCTTCTTCTTCCTCCTCGCCAATGTGGTTCACAATGTTTGGCACTTGTTTCAATTGATTCTCCAAGTTCATTTCTTTGAGCACTGTTTCTTGCGGGTATTGCGACATATCTTGTTGCATTTTTGTCACATTGATAGTGAGAGCTCGGATCATGTCTTCAGTGGACATGCTGGAATAAGAACTTGAGTATGGATTATATGTGTTGGAGAATGAATCATACCTCTCTTGGAAAACAACATCATCACTCTGTTCAAAGTATTCTTCTTGAAGCTTGGGGCAAAAATCCGTAAGATGCATTTGTGACATGCAAATGTTGCAGGCCTTGGTATCTTGAACGTTTGAGCATAAGAGAAACTCCTTTTCTAAAAATGTTAAGCTAGAAATTTGACTCAATAGCGATGATGTGTTGGTATCCATTTACTCATATAACTCAGAAAATAGAAGAGCAAGATTTTTTTTTTTAATATTATTTTTATTTTTTATTTTTATGAGATAAAAATAAAAAGAAAAATAATTGCCTTCCCCGGCAACGGCGCCAAATTTGACGAGCACTTGTCGTGAGGTGCACTCAAAATAATTTATCAATACAACACTAATACGTAGTATTGTGAAGTAAGGTTCGTATCCACAGGGAAAGGAATACTTTTCTTTTATATAAGTAGTATCAAGGGGGGTTTAGATTTGTTTGATTTAAATATACTAAGATGAACAACCTATATGAGTTTGATTAATAGATGTGGAGGCTTGGTTTTGCTTTTATCCACTTAATGAAATGTTCGTCGATCCCGGTTATATCTTTAACTATCTTCCTCTCGAATACTCAATCGAGGAGTATATCCAGTTCATCGAGGATAGTTATTAATAACGAGATGTGTTCATTAATAAAACTTACTACCGAGTCAATATAGAACAAGCGCCGTATATTAACTTGATAGTAGCAATAAACTTAAGATGAAAACGATTGAGATTGATAACCTCAACACAAGCGGTTTATTGGTTTAATCAATATAATTAATTCCCCCTTGGCATATTAACCATGAGATGCATGCATTAATATTCCAAGTTTACTACCGTTGAAAGAACCAGATTAATAACAAGCGTATTAACCGATTGATTCTAGTAATAATTAATATAAGAAACAAAACTAGTTGATACTTTAAGTAATGTTTAAAATATTAACATGAAATATGAATAGGAATTAATTAATACTCAAGGAAGAATATTAAAGAATATGAATCCTACTATGATTAACATCAAGATGTTAACTAATTGTCATCTTAGTAACACTCCCCAATATTAACATAGAAGAAGAAATAACTATTACTATAACCAATGTCAAGATGTTAACTAATTGTCATCTTAGTAACACTCCCCAACTTTGATTTAGAAATAGTATTTGAAAGGAAGAATTAATATTCAAGGAAGAAGATTAAAGAAAATAACTCACAACTTACAAATTCATTAAGCTTCAAAGTAGCAAAACCAAGATGGAAGGGTTTAGCTCCTCATTTGGAGACTAAACATGCTATAAAACTATAAGAAATGTTATTCTAAACTGAGCTTAGGAGTATGGAAGAAGGGATGAAGGGATCTCCCCAAAGTGAAGGAAAATGGGGCTATTTATAGGTGTTTTACAACACCTTTGGCCGGGTACCCGACCGGGTAAAGTGCCCACCCGACCGGGTGCATGTCAAAATCAAATATCCTCCATGTTCTGGTGATCTTCAGCATGTTAAAGTGTCTCGGGTCAAGTCAGACCCGACCGGGTGGGGTAGGGGACCCGACCGGGTGAGTGCACTTTCCAGGCACTTTCGGTTGTTGAATCAGACACGACCGGGTGACGTCTTATGCCCGGTCAGGTATTTGCTCCTGGACAGTCAAAATTCCTTTTTCTTCACTTCAAAGTCCTCCTTTCCAAAACCATAATTCCTAATTCTACTTTACAACTAATAAATGAAGATTAAAATACAATTACAACTAAATTCACACAAATGTTTACAATCTAAATAAAACTGTAAACAATACACACAAATCAATCATAAAAATATATATATTTATGCACTACTAATTAGTGCATATCAACGATCATAAATATGATATCCTGTTAAAATCGGAGGTGGAGGATCGTGGTCCTTGCGACCCTTGATGAATGACTTCTTATCCTTTCGATACGGATGATTAGGTGGGAGAAATTTCCTGTGACAATCAAAGTAGGATGTTTTTCGACTATTCTTTAGCCAAAATTCATTTGATTTTTCAATACAAACAGGGCAACCCATAACCCCTGCAGTACTCCATCCAGAGAGCATTCCATATGCTGGAAAATCACTAATGGTCCACATAATCGCAGCTTTCATATTAAATATTTGATCTCTCAAAACATCATATGTAGGAACACCAACTTCCCACAATTGTTTCAGCTCTTCGATCAATGGCTGCAAATACACATCAATTCTTTTTTTTGGATTACCTGGACCTGGACACATCAATGATAAAAACATAAAATGATTTTTCATACACATGTCCGGGGGGAAGTTATATGATGTAATGATAATTGGCCAACATGAGAACTGGCCTCCAAATTGACCGAACGGAGCAAAACCATCAGAACATAATCCAAGTCTCACGTTGCGTGGCTCAAAAGCAAATTGAGGATAACACCTGTCAAAATGCTTCCACGCTGCGGAATCTGATGGATGACACATTAACCCTTCTTCAGTGTCATGTTCTACATGCCGCGTCATGTGTTTAGCGGTAGCGCTCGAGGCATATAATTTGTGCAAACGTGGTGCTAAAGGAAGATATATCAACTTAGATGCTGCATATCTTTTTCGTGCTTTTCGACCCATACCTGATATGGGCTTGTACCTATCCGCATTACAAAACTTACATCGGATCAATGTTTCGTCATTCTTCCAAAACAACATACAACCTCCAGGGCATACATGGATTTTTATCATAGGGAGACCTAACTCAGAAACAAACTTTTTCATGTTGTAGTAAGTATCGGGAAAACAATGGTCACGAGGTAACATACTACCAATTGAGTCTAATATTTTGGACATGCAGCTCTCAGATGGGTTATATTCTGAATTTATGTTAAGAAATTAAGAAACTGCTGATAATTGGGAATGATCATAAAAATCAGAATATAAAGGCTGATCCGCACTTTTGAGCACTTCTTGAAATCTAGTGCCTAACACATCCACATCATAATATGATGAACTTGGTCCTTCGTTCACATTATTGTGTGCGTTGAATTCACTATCCGTGTGGATATTGAGAAACGTAGAAGGACCAGCCAAATCATAAAGCATTTTTTGCTCCCATACCATTTCTTCACAATTTCCCCAATTAGCCATCTCATTGGGAACATACCTCGATGTTCCTACGTTTTGTGGCAACAACTCTGGCTCAATTGGTTCTCCTTGAGAAGTCCAGTTGTGGTAGTTTTCAACAAAACCATGTGTATATAAATGCCAACAAACCTCCCCACCTTCAACAAATTTGTTATTTTTACACTCTGTACAAGGACATCTTATTTTACTTGCATCCATATAGCGTGTTTGCCCTTGTGCGAATCTAATAAATTCGTTAACTCCATTTTCGAACACTTTTTTCAATCCTCTACCATTTTCCTTGTAGCGGTCATACATCCAACTTCTAGTTTGTCTATACATTGTGCCTGGATATTAAAAAATATCTTAATGATTTTTTTGATAGTATATCTTAACGAAATTAATTTATTAAATTTACACATTAACGTCTCACATTGTATCTCACAAATTTACAAAATATCTTAATGATTTTTTACAGTACATCCAACCTCTACATTGTATATCTCACGTTTTAAATCTAACACTACAATTCAATCAATATAATTCAGACAAATACTACTGATAACAACTCGTAATATGGATATGATCAAATTAATTTAAAAACAGAATGGTCGAAATTTACATACCTTAAGTACAACGACGATACCAAGTAATACGAGTATAAAGTAAGAAATCCAAATAGAAACCTCCAGATATCACCAAGCATCTTGTTATTTGTAGGCCTAACTCATATGTCATGAGTGAACCGGTCAAGTCTTCTAGCGTCATGGTAGAGAGATCTTTAACTTCTTCTATAGCCGTAGTTTTAGGCTTCCATGCGGAGGGCAAGCTTCTCATAACTTTTCTCACTTGATCTTCCACAGTAATATCTTTTCCAAGTGCTGAAAGCTCATTTATAATATTAGTAAAGCGTGTAATCATATCCCTAATTGACTCTTTAGGTTTCATCACGAACAATTCGTAATTACGCATAAATATGTCAATTTTGGATCTTTTTACATGCGAGGTACCCTCATGTGTAACCTCGAGTAAATCCCACATTTGTTTTGCGGATTTGCATCCTAGAACCCGGTTGTGCTCAGCCGGACCAAGTCCACAAATCAAATATTTCAATGATTGGGCATTATGCTCGAGTTTGCGATAATCATCAGAAGTAAATTCAGATTTGGGTTTAGGGACAACCTTACCTTCGTCATCCACCTTAGTGATGATGTTATCACCTGCCTCAATTAGATTCCATACCTGGTAGTTCTCAGCCTTGATGAAGTTCTCCATTCGACTATTGTAGAATTGGTAAAATTTGTCGCTGAACATCGGTGGTCGTTGAGTCGAGTAACCTTCTTCAAATCGTTCAACCGTATTCATATTGCCGAATCTCTTCCCAAGGCTTTACCCTTTCTGTGGTGAAGACCGACTCTGATACCAATTGATGAAACGGTTAGCAACACAAGAGGGGGGGTGTGAATTGTGTGGAACCATGGCAGTTTTTCGCACAGTTCTAGTTTGGGGTTCATGGAATTGCAAAATAGTAAAGTGCACAAGGATTTAACGAGGAAAAATCCCTTGTCTCAAAGGGATTAAAAAACCTCGACCTCCCTCGGAGGAATTTTAAACAACTTCACTAAAAAGACTTTTGTGGTTACAAGGTAAATTCTCCTAATCTACCCTTGAGCCACCCCAACTCTATCCTCTCTAGAAAGAGTTATGCATCTCTACCTTGCGGGTATAGAGCCTCTCAGCTTTACAACAAAGCTCTCACACACACGACCCCAACCCAAGGAAGCTACACTTTAGCTTTTCCTCAAAATGAAGTTACAAGATAAAGAAGGGAAAAGAAACTATATCTAGAATTTCGTGAGTAGGTCCAGGTGCCTTGGTATTGATGATTCTTTATAAGTATTTCTCTCTGTAATTGCTCGGTCAAGCACACCACTTCTCTTGATCTTCTGTCATATATATAGCTTCATGCAGGACGTCTGTTGCTCCTCTTTCCTTAGTTGGTTGCTTGGTAAATTTATGGACTTGCCTTGATATTTTTGAATTGCTTCTCTCCATAATATTTCTCATATTCCATCTCGAGATATGTAGGGTAGTCAAATTAAGATACTTAAGATATTATAATCACGTATACACGAAAGTAGCATACCAATCATGGATAAAGAAATTATTTCATTAATGCAACGGCTCACTCAAATCATGTGTGATTAATTTAAGTAGGAATATTTCAAGCTACTTAAATTTATTACCAAAGAAAACAAGTTGTGGCCAACTCTTAAAACGACAGAATATTATTCTCAATATATGCAACGGAATAAATATGGAATATATTTCAAACAAGGATTACTTTTTAAATCCGTGATGGATAGTCTACCCGGGGGTATGTATCCGAAGGATTACTGCGGGGAGTAACTAGAGAGAGGTCAGAGCAAAAGTAAGAGAGAGAGAGTATATTGTTGAGAATGTAGTGAGCGAGTTTAGCTTGGATTACAAATGGGGAAAAGGGGCGCTATTTATAGTAGTAATAAATGCCAGATAGGGACACGTGTCAAGCGTCCAATGGCCGAGGGGTCACATCAACTGGTTGGTACTGGCAGTGGCATGTGGCCGCATTTAATGCGGCTATTGGATGTGACGCCGTACTTGGTACGGTGATTCAGGCGCATGTGGAGAGGATATTCTGTCGAGAAAGGTGCCCTTGGCTGCAGATGATTAGCCAAGGGATCTAAGTATGGGGGACCTCCTTAGTGTCGAGGCCTCTAGGTGTCGAGGGCTACTGATTTTCGCCGTTCTCTCCTAGTAACTTTGTTTTCTTGAGTTGGCCATCCTGTGAGGATTTGGAGCCTTCGGCCAGGGGGGCGAAGGCACCCCCAGTGTGCCACGTGGGTTGCTCAGTACTTGGGGCGCTGTGATTTGGGCCTGCTGTGCTTCCTGGGCCTATTGGGCCTCCCTTAGAATAGTAAGAGTCTATGGGTCGGGGGTTCCTGGGCCATATACTCCATCAGGAGTCCCTCACTCCTTTTGCCGAAAGGTACTTGAGGGAAAAGGAGTAATTTGTGTTTTTCCTTTGGTGTTGTTCCGTTGTAGTTTGTAAAGTTGGTAAGGAGTTCGTTGTGTACATGTTTCAGCCGAGGGCAGTCCCTCAGTTACCCACATTCCGGGACTTGAGGGATCATGTTTGTCATTGTGGGAGTTTTTGGCATTTTTTTTTTTTTGAGATTTTTCCCGAAGGGGTCCTCCAGTCCCCCACTCCTTGAGGCACTTGCAAAGTGGTGAAAAGGAGTAGAGTAGTGCCTGCCTGCAATATGAAGCCGAGGGGTGACGCTTTTCGTTTCATTTTGGGGGGATGCCTCGTTAAAAACCTCATTGGAAAAAACCATGTGGGAAAAAATTCCAATGAGGGAAAGAGAGTGCACCGAATTCCCCCAATGATGAGTCGAAAAGGTGAAACCCTGGTCTGAAATGAGTGGCAGTATTCTTGCCGAAGGCTATCCTTGTCTAAAGGCGCGTGTTTTGATTTAATGAAGGCTCGCTGTTGTTATCCTGAGAGATGCCGAAGGGGAGTCCTCAATTTGTGAGAATGAGGGCGCGATGAATGTGGATGATATTTTCTGTGTTGTTGAGGGGTCCCTTGTTTGTTGACAAGTGGGGGGCTTTGGTACCCCGAGGGGCTTCCTTGTTACATAGCCGGGGGGCAGCCTTTGAACAAGGTGTGCTCCCCGGGGACTACGTGGTCCTCAATATGTTTGAGGGTTGAGGGTCCCCGAGGGGTGTGCCCGTTGTGAAACCGTGGGCTTCTGAAGGAGTGAGCCCGAAGGCATATGTGATGTATTCTGATGGGCATTGGTCGGGAGCACTTCTGGATAAGTGTACCCTGGGGCTCCTCTTGATGAAGTGGAGTGAAGGAGACAACCCGGGTTCCCAGAATATAGCCGTTGCAATAGAGCCGTTGGAAGATGTAACGTCAGAGATATAGCCGTTGGAGGGGGGCCTCCACGTGGCACGTGTCCACAGGTTGTCTGCGGGCGGGCGTTACCGATTGGGCGAAACGACGGTAGTAATGATGACTTCGTACCGGAGGCCCGGTTTTCAAGCCCAAGCCCGGATCTGGGCGCCTATAAATACCCCAAGGCCAGGGTCACTTCCCCTTGTGCGATTTCAGTGTAGCGAAGCTCTGCTGAATTTTCTAGAGAGAGAAGCTCCAGCCTTCGGTCAAAACCAGTTCTCAGAGGTTAGTTCTTGCTCCGTTCTCGGCAATTCTTGCATACTTCACTTCCCGGCCTTAGATTAGGGGTTTGTAGCTTAGAGACTTTAGAATCTCCCTCCGAACCCTTGGTTTAGTATCAAAAATGTCTTCACAAAGTGATTCCCAAGACATTTCGAGGGAGCCTCCAGTTGAGGCGGAAACATACTCTGACATTGAGCCTTCGAGCGAGGAGTCTTCGGTGGGTGATGACGCTGCTGTGGCCATGGAGGTGGAGAAGGACCTCAGGGTCGAGATCGAAGCCGAGGACTTCGAACAAGTAAACGAGGATGAAGAGCTCGCCCTCACTGTGCAGACTGCTGAGGAGGAAGAGGAGAAGGAGAGAATGAGGGTGACTGTCGCTATCCTTCCCCCTCGCGGCGCCGGGGAAGCCAGCACCTCTCGGCCCTTGAACCCAACGCCTATCAGTGTGGCTCCCAGGAAATAGAAGAAGACGAGGGCTGCTCCGAAGAAGAAACAAGCAGCCGTGGACGACGGGCGGCCAGTAGGTATACCTGAGGGCCACTCCTTCCTGAACACCGCCGCCCTAGAGTTGAAGACGAGGGCGTCCCCGGCGGAGTACCAGGCCATTCAAATCCTGGTTGGCCCTTCGGCACGTGTGGTGGAGCCAGGAGCCGATGGGGCTGCTTCGCTGTTCATACCCTGTCAGTGGAGATGGGGCTCCGCTTTCTGCTCCACCCCTTTCTGCTGGAGTAACTGCGGTTCGTGGGGCTGGCCCCCTGTCAGCTAACGCCCAACAGCCATTCTTATGTGGCCGGCTATCTCTCTTTGTGCCAGAGCCGAGGGGTTCCACCTACCCTCGACCAATTCTTCATGTCATTCAACTTGTGTCGGGGGGGGGGGGGGGGGGGGGGGCATTCGAACGCTGAGGGCTTTGCCAACCTGCAGCTAGTACCGGAGTTCAGGCTTTTCAATGAAGTGCCTTCGTCCCACAACGAATGGAAGGATCGGTCCTGTTACATATGCCTGGAGGAGAACCCCTTTCCCGCTCCGCTCCGCAACAGCTTCCGGCGTCACCCGAAGGTAGGCTGTGCAGCCCTGGAGAAGAACGGCAGGATACTCGCCAACAAACCGGAGGGGTCCGACAAGCATGTTAAAATCAAAGACGTTACTCTCTCTGATGAATTGTTCAAGCTCGGCTTCCGGCAGTGTCGGCCGAGGGGCTCATCGGATGAAAGATACCCTCTGATAGACTGTGTATTCGAGGGAGCCGGAGGTGATTATCGAAGGGTTATGTGTTTCGTACCCCGAGAATTTTCCTTTGTTTTTTGTCAATCCACGTCATTGTAATTGATACCCTTCGGCCTAATCATTTTGTGTCTTATCTTTGCAGGTAATAATATGGACGTGAGCTCTCTCTTCACCCTGAAGAACGCCAAAGGGAAGAAGAAGTGTCCAGTGGGCGCTTCCACCAGGGAGGAGTCCTCCCAAGCTGCTAATGCCGGTGCTAGTGCCGGGGGGTCCAAAGGTGCTGGGGCCATGAAGAAAAAGAACTGTGGCAATGGGACCGAGCCCCCGGCCAAGAAGTTGAAAACCGCGGCCTCCGGCAAGCAACCGGCCGTCGATGTTGTCGTCATTGTGGACGAGGGGCACGCCTCCGCCCCCACCCCTCAGGAGCACATCAACCAAGACTTCTTCGGCCGGGAGAAGTTGGAGGCGATAGTGCCGAAGGGGGCATCCGTGCTGGAGGGTAGCCTCAACCCGTCGGTGCTGATGAGCCAGATGTTGTCCTCGGCCGATCGGCTAGCCCTCACTAGGATGGACGAGGGCTCCCTTGAGGCCAAGATTCTGCTGAGCAGTGCCTCCGTGAGTCACGCTTTCCCTTTTCCTTTGTATTTGCTCTTGTTCTTACGCATTGCGTTCACCATGTCTGACCATTATCTTTGTTGACTACAGAACTTCATGGGCCTCTGTGAGCACCTCTGAAGGGTGGAGCAGATGAAGGAGGCGAAGGGTGCTGCTGAAGGGGAAGCTGTCAGCCTTAGGAAGAGGCTGGATGAGGCCGAGGATTCCCTCCGCTTGGCCACTGATAACATGGAGCAGTGGGTGCAAGTTGCGAGGGCCGAGGGGTAGAGCGAGGGCCTGGCTGAGGCCGGGGAGGCTGCTAACCGAAGCCGCTCGCGTTGCTACCGAGGAAGCCCGTGTGGCTAAAGAAGAGGCTGCCTCCAAGGCTCGGGAGGATGCTATAGCTGCCTTTACCGCCGAGGGGTGGAAAGCAGAGGAGCAGAAGGAATGGTTGTCCTCGGTGGTGCAGGCTTCGGTGGATGCTTGGGTTGGAGGCCCCGACAAAATGTGTCTTGCTGAGAAGGGTGACTCCTATTATCAAGGTGGGGAGTTTTTCACCCAGCGCCTCATATACCGAAAGCTTGCCAGGCACTTTAAACTTTCACCGGAGGAGTTCCAGCCCGAAGTTTATGGCCTTCCCCCTCGGCAACCAGACATCAGGGTCTCCCTCCCCGAAGGCGAAGAGAGGCCGGTGCTTGAAGATTCGGAGACCCTAAGGGAATGCGGCCTCGGGGGTGATGGAGATGAGGCCGAGGGCGAAGCCACTTCCAAAGCTGTCGACGGGGGCGACGTTCCAGCTGCCAATTTGTAATCTGTATTCTGAACAATTCTTGATGCACCTTTGTAATCACATTGTTTAACTTTTGGATCTGGCCCTTATGAACACCCTGCCCTATGTTTTTTATGAATTGATGCCTCCGGGATTTTGTATATAACATGTTTTCATTTTTGAATGTATGCTTTCACCTTCTCTTTCCTTTGTGTATGAATGTATGCTTGTTTGGTAATTTGGCCGAGGGGCCAACTTTTAGGACTTAGAAAATATTTTCCTAAGTATAATGCATCCAGTAGCTTTCGGCTACTAGGTCCCTTTAGTCATCTGAATATTCCACCGAGGGCCAAATGTTCAGGACTTAATTTTTTTTTCTAAGTGTTGTTCCTCATTTGGCCCTTGGCTTAATTCCTTCCCTCTGATCCTGTGTAGCCTTCATGAGGTGACCGGAGGCAAAGCATTTAGGACTTAGAAATTTTTTCTAAGTGTTTGAATATCATCTGGCCTTCGGTATGTGGGCATTTCTTGCTGCATGAAGTGGGGTGACCCTCGTTGCAATGTGAGTTTGCCGAGGGCCACACGCTTTATGACTTAGAAGTTTTTTCTAAGTGTTTCCTGTTGTTGGCCTTCGGTGAGGGGGCCCTTCGGCATAGTAGCAATCTCCGAGGGCAGCCTACTTTGTGGTCCTAGAATAATTTCCCTTGTCTCGCAAGACTAGCCTGCGGCAATAAAAGCCTTCGGCTGTTGTCATGTTTCCACAGTGTTGACTTAGAAAATTTTGTAGTCCAAGTGCAGCATGAAAAAGACAGACTCTCTCGGGCAATGCCTGGGTGTATCCCCTCGGCATCTAGTGAGGTGCCGGAGGTGATTCTCGCTTGGATTTGGCCAACATCTGATAGCATTTGTTGTATAGTAGCCTTCGGGGACGTTTTTGAATTGTTGTTGAGTGAACCTATCAAATTTTGTAGGATTTGAGCCTTCGGTTTTGATGTAGCCGGAGGCAATCAAAAAGTGGACTTAGCCATTTGTTGATGGTACTTGTTGAATAGTATCTTTGGTAATCAGGAGCTTCCAGGTACCGGAGGCGTTCCCGTGGGGGGCCCTCGGTATGTATTGTCTTGTAATGCCGAAGGGCGTTCTGTCGTGAATTGTTGGAGTGGCGTACTCATTGATTTCTCGCTGAGTCTACTCCCCTTCGCCACCCCATTTTTTTGGTAGTGAAGGGAAGGCTTCAAGAAACTTGGTTTCTTAGTAAGGCTTGGCCTATCGGGAGATAATAGAATACACCATTAGCTCCCCCCTCGGGTTAACCTTCCGAGTTCCGAGGGGATCGAGGGTCGTTTCCTGGGCACAAGACATGGTCTGTAGCCTACCTCCCCTTGGGAGATGCCACGGAAAGCGCCTCAGTTTTGAAAGTCGTCCCCTCCGCGCCAGACATAGTCCGTGGCCTGCCACACCCTTGGGGTAGTGGCGCGGGGAGCGTTTCGATTTGGAAGTCGAATCCTGGGCATATTAGATGCCTACCAATCCCTCGGGGGGAATGGCGCGGAAAGCGTTCCGTTTTTGAAAGTCGAATCATGGGCATATTACTTGCCTGTCATACCCTTGGGGTAGTGACGCGGAAAGCGTTTCAGGGAAGGGTTTTCACTTGCACACTGGTTGCAAATGGCCGAGGGCACTACGCGCTACCGGCACCGATAGGTGGCGCTTTCGGTATATGCGTCCTCGAGGGGTACGGCTTTAGAAACAACATTTGGTGTTTGTTCTGGTATACGGCCCCCGGCACTTGGTACCGAGGAGTCTTCAGTAAAAACATTTGGTGTTTTTCTTCATTTGTTGTAGGTGATTGAGGTGTCTTCCTTCGGCACTTGGTACCGAAGGGTCTTCAAAGGAAACACTCGGTGTTTTCTTCTGTTTGTTGAAAATTGATAGTAGTGTATGCCCCCGGCACTGGGTGCCGAGGGGCCTTCATTGAAGACATTTGGTGTTTTCTTCCCTGTTGTAGGTGATAGTATAGTCTACCCTCGGCACTTGGTGCCGAAGGTTCTTACTTGTGATAAGGCCTTGGGCTAGGGGCTGATATGAGGGCTTGGCCGCTCATAAGAGTCTCGTTCCATGTTCTTGGTATCTTCAATATGCCTTCATTCTTCAAAAATTGGAGGCCTTGGGCCGCAAAATAATACATTCACTAGTTATGAGGGCTTGGCCGTTCTAATGTTATTGATAAAATTTAACTAAGTGATGTACATTCCAGTGTCTAGGGACCTCGGTCCCATTGGGGCGTTTGAGTTTGTAAGTTCCAGGCTTGATGATAGCTGTCACTATGTAAGGGCCCTCAAACTTGGGCGCCATTTTGCCTCCCTCGGTTGGTTGGCTATCTTCCCTCCTTCGGAGGACATAGTCCCCCACTTGGAATTCCCGGGAGCGGACTTTGGCGTCAATGTAACTCTTCACTTGCCTTCGGTAGTTTTCCGCGCGTATGAAGGCTTGCTCTCGGCGTTCTGAAATAAGGTGAAGGTCGAGGGCCATATTGGCGTCGTTGACCTCGGGATCATATTGTGTGACCCTTCGGGTCGGAAGAGTTACCTCAGTGGGGGCCTTAGCTTCAAATCCGTAGCAAAGGGAGAAGGGTGTGTCGCCTGTTGCTCACCGAGGGGTGGTGCGGTAGGCCCATAAGATGTTGTGGAGCTCTTCTACCCAACCACCCCCTTCGGCCTCCAGTTTCTTCTTTAGGCCCTCGAGCAAGGTCCTGTTGGCGTTTTCCACTTGACCGTTGCCTTGAGGGTAGGCAACGGATGAGAAGGTGTGTTTGATGCCCCATGCCTCTAGGAGGGCACAGAAGGGGGCTGCCTCAAACTGAGTCCCGTTGTCGGAGATGATTTGTTGGGGGACGTCAAACCTTGTGAGGATGTTCTTGAGAACAAAATGACGACACTTGGCCTCGGTGATGCTGGCGAGGGGCTCAGCTTCCACCCATTTGGTGAAATAGTCGATGGCGACAATGATGTACCTGTTGTTGGAGGTACCGCTCGGCAGAGGGCCCACAAGGTCTATACCCCATCGAGCGAAGGGTATGGATGTGCTGATGGGGGCATAGTTGACCGCTGGCCTGCCGGGGGCTTTCTGGAAGTGTTGGCATGCAATACACCTTCGGGCGAGATCCGCACAAATGCACAATCCTGGACCATTGTAGGCCAAAAGTAGCCCTGGATTATGAGCCTTCGGGACATGGAGAAGGGTCCCTGGTGAGCTGAACAAGTGCCACTGTGCACTTCCTCCATCGCAACCTCGGCTTCATCTTGATGAAGGCGCCGAAGTAATGTCCCATTGTATGATCTTTTGTAAAGCCTTCCGTCTTCGATAGTGTAGCTGGGAGCCCTCAGCTTTGCTAGCTTGGCACGGTCCTCATCCTCGGGCAGTTGCCCTGTGGTGATGAAGGCGACAATATCTGAGATCCAGTCTGTTGGGCCGTGGGTATGCGGTGCCAGCAACAGCCAGCCTGCCGGTGCAATCGGACCGCGTGGCGCTTCGCTTGTGCTATAAAGGGGGAGGAGCGTGCTTCACTATCAGCGATTGCTTTTAGTGTAGCGGTAAGCGCAACGATCCACAAGTGGTATCCGAGCCAAGGTCACGGGTTCGACCCCCGGCAACAGCATGCTGCGCAGTTGTAGGCTGGCAGGTGCTGGGGGGAGATTGTTGGGTCGCGGGTATGCGGTGCCAACAACAGCCAGCCTGCCGGTGCAATCGGACCGCGTGGCGCTTCGCTTGTGCTATAAAGGGGGAGGAGCGTGCTTCACTATCAGCGATTGCTTTTAGTGTAGCGGTAAGCGCAACGATCCACACAGTCCTCTTGCCTTTGTTGTATGTGCATGATGGGGCTAGCATGTATGCTGGAGAGGGTGAGCTCCTCGATTTTGGCGATTTTTGAGATATGCTCAGGGGATTCGGCCGAGAGCTTCGATAAAATGTCGGCCTCGGAGTTTTGAGCCCTCGGTATTTGAGTAAGAGAGTGTGCCTCAAATACCTTAAGCAACTCCTTGGCCGCTTCTTTGTACTACTTCATTCTCCCTTCCTTGGCTTCGTACTCCTCGGAAATTTGGCTGACGACTAACTTGGAGTCGCACTTGACGTGGATCTATCGCGCCTTCATGTTAGCTGCCAGCCGAAGGCCACAGAGGAGGGTCTCGTACTCGGCTTCATTGTTGGAGACCTTGAAGGAGAAGCGGATCGCATAATAGGCCCGGAAGCCTTCGGGTGAGATGAGAACCACCCCTCCTCCACATGCTTTGACAGCGGAGGAGCCGTCGATGTAGAGGGTCCACCAATCGTCCGAGGGGACCAAGGGCTCCTCGTCCGTGGCTGATCTTGCCGTGCACTCCGTCACGAAGTCCGCCAGGGCTTGGCCCTTGATGGCAGGCCTAGGACGGATGTCGATGTTGTATTGGCTCAGGAAGACAGCCCATTTTACCATTCGGGAGGAGCTAGTGGGGCTCCTCATCAAAGCGCCGAGGGGCTGGTGAGTGAGGACCTGGACCGGGTGAGCTTGGAAGTAATGGCCCAACTTCTTGGCAGTCCAAACGATAGCCAACACTGTTTTTTCCACATGGGAATACCGGAGTTCCGCTTCCCTGAGAGTCTTGCTAACATAGAAGATGGCATGTTGGATGTCATCCTCTTCCCGGATAAGCACTGAGCTGATGGCTGCCGGGCTAACACCAAGGTAAAGGTATAGGGTCTCCCCTACCTTGGGTTTAGAGAGTACTGGGGGTGAAGATAAGTACCGTTCCAGTTCCTCGAAAGCCCCTGACACTCTGACGTCCACTGGAAATCGGCGGTCTTTCTCATGATCTGGAAGAAGGGTAAGGACTTCTCCGCCGATTTTGATAGGAAGCGATTGAGGGCTGCCAGGCGGCCCGTCAACCGTTGGACCTCCTTCACATTGCGTGGCGGTTCCATGTTGATGATGGCCTGGATTTTTTCGGGGTTGGCCTCGATACCCCTTCGGCTCACCATGTAGCCTAAGAATTTGCCTCCTTGCACGCTGAAGGTGCACTTTTTCGGGTTTAGCCGAAGGTTGAACTTCTGCATGATGGCAAAGATTTCCGTGAGGTCGTCAGCATGGCTGGAGGATTGTTTGCTTTTGACGATCATGTCGTCAACATACACCTCCATGGTGCACCCCAGAACGGCCTGAAATACCCTGGCCACCATCCGAGTGTAAGTGGCGCCTGAGTTTTTGAGGCCGAAGGCCATTACAAGGTAGCAGAAGATGCCTTCGGGAGTCATGAAGGCTGTTTTTTCAGCATCTTTCTCATGCATAAAGATTTGATAATACCCGCGGAATGCGTCGAGAAATGACATGATTTCACACCCCGCGGTCTCATCTACAAGTTGATCAATATTCGGCAAAGGAAAGGGGTCCATGGGACACGCCTTGTTGAGATCTGTGTAGTCCACGCATATGCGGAATGAGGGCGGTTTTTGTGCGAGGACTACGTTCGCCAGCCATGAGGGGTATTTTACCTCCTTGATGTGCTTGATAGAAAGGAGCATGGCGACCTCCTTCTTCACAAAATCCCTCCTCTCGGCCGAGAGGGGTCTCCTCCGTTGTTGTACTGGTTTAGCCGAAGGGTCCACCGAGAGGCGGTGAGTGATGACCCTTCGGCTGATCCCCGGCATGTCCTCCGGCCCCCATGCAAAAACAATGGAGTAGGCGCGGAGGGCGCTGATGATGCCGGTCTTCAAGTCCTCGGGGAGCTGGGCTCCAATCTTCACGACTCTCTCCGGCTTGGCCGGATCGAGCATAAAGTCTTCTACGTCCTCGTCCGGTTCAGCCCTCGGCCTCTTCTCCTCCTCTTTAATAGCCCCGGTGATGGTGTCAACACGGAACTCGGTTTTGCTAACCTTCTTTGTCACCTGGAGATAGCAAGTGCGGGCAAGTTTCTGATTTCCCCTCGAGTAGCCGATACCCCCTTCGGCTGGGAATTTGAGGCAGAGGTGCCTCATGGAGATGATGGCTTCGAGATCCTCGAGGGCTGGCCGGTCGAGGATGATGTTGTGGGCGCAATCGATGCTGACGACGACGAACTCCACTTCGAGATTAGCTCTATGGAGCCCGTCGCCGAATAGTACCGGGAGGGTTATGACTCCCTCGGAATCAATGGTATCACCGGTGAAACCGACGAGAGGGGTCTTGATGGGCCGAAGGGACCCCCTTTCCAGGTGCAGCTCTCTGAAGGTGCTGAGATACATTACATTGACAGAACTGCCCGTGTCAACGTATGTTCTGTGGATGATAGTGTCATTGATCTCTGTGCGGATGACGAGGACATCCCTGTGTGGAGAGGACACCGGGGGGAGATCAGCGTTAGTGAAGGTGATGGGTTCCTCCCTCAGCCGCTTTACCGGGGGCATATGAGTGACTTCCCCCACGTATAGCGATTGAGCCCACTTCTTCCGTTGGCTGGTGGAGTCTCCCCCTGTGTTGCCACCGGTGATCATGAGGATGTGGCGCTTCTTCTCGAGGCCATGGGGGTACTCTTCTTCTTCCTCCTCCAAATTCCCGATCTCCCTCTTCCTGCCGAGGGGGATGGTGTTTGGGTTAACCCAAGTGTTTGCTTTCGTCGGGCGCCCTCGGGGTGGCCCTTGGTAGGGAGGACCCTGTTGCTGAGGGCCTTGGACAAATTGGGACAGATGGCCCGTCTATATTAACCTCTCGATGGCTGTCTTCAGCTGATGGCAGTCATCGGTCTTGTGCCCTTGATGTCGGTGGAAGCGACAGTAGCGGTAGTTTGGTGTGATGGCATATACCTCCGGGGGTGCGCGAGAATCTCGCTCCACCAGACCCCTCTCCTCAGCGAAGTCGAGGATGACGCTAACGTGGTGCGTTAAAGGTGTCCGAGGATGCTCCAGGAGAACAGGTTGTGCCCAAGCCTTTGGGTTACCCTTGTATCCTCCCCCGGGCTTGGCGTGGCCGTGCCAGGGGCGATCACTGGGGGGCGCTGAACCCTTTGGCTGGCTATGAGGAGCCCCGGCCCCCGGTTGCCTTTATCATCTGGCCGAGGGCGTTGCTGATCGGGGTTGTGATGGCATTTCTCCACCTCTTCGGCCTCGGCGTATCGGTCCCCCCGTTGTAGGGCTCTTATATAATCGCGAGGGGGTTCGATGATGAGGCTCATTGAGAAGTTTCCGGGGCGGAGCACTATTTGGAGGAGGGCCAGGAGGGTCCCGTCGTCTGCGCCATCAACTTTATCAGCCTCCGTTCTCCAGCGCTCCAAGAAGTCCCGAAGGGTCTCCTCTTTCCTTTGCCTCACTGTCAACAAGTGGGAGAAGTGTTTTCTTGTGCGGCGCCTTCCCGCAAATTGTGTCAAGA